CCTCCAGATGTTGAGAGTACAGCTCCCATCAGCTTCAGCCAGCATGACTAATGGCCACGGATGGTGACTAACAACATATTTGGGCCACAGATGCCTCATCCTTGATGCGCTGACTTGAAGACTTGCATCACTTTCGTAAGTGAGAAGGAGCCTTCCATTTAAAACAACTATGTATTTCTGATGCCCAATGGTGGAAGCTGAGCTTGCTTTATGAACCAGTTAATTTGTTTGATGCTATCTATGATTACAAAGGGATACACCATTAAAATTGAGCATAACCATCACAAGCTAACTCTGCATGCAGCTAAAAAAAGGTAAAGGTAAAGGACCCCTGACAGTTAAGTCTAGTCATGAATGACTCTGGGGATGCGGCGCTCGTCTCGCTTTACTGGCCGAGGGAGCAGATGTTTGTCCGCACACAGTTTTTCCAGGTCATGTGGCCAGCATGACTAAGCCGCTTCTGGCAAAACCAGAGCAGCGTACGGGAATGCCGTTTACCTTCCCGCTGGAGTGGTACCTATTTATCTACTTGCACTTTGATGTGCTTTCGAACTGCTAAGTTGACAGGAGCTGGGACCGAGCAACGGGAGCTCACCCTGTTGCGGGGATTCGAACCGCCGACCTTCCCATCAGCAAGCCCTAGGCTCTGTAGTTTAGACCACAGCGCCACCCACGTCCCCTGCAAATCAGAATTATTTAATCTGCATATTATATGTAAACTATATACAAGTAACTCCCATCTTATGTGAAGGTTATGTTTCGGGGATGATGTGAATACGCAGAGACTTGTATACTTGAACCATCCCTTGAAACTGCCACTGTGCGAGCAATCTTACCTTCCAAACTCAGCATGCCAAACAGGTCTTACCCCCAGACCTGTGCAGAGCTTGTTTGAGGCCTGGGGTAGGAGTCTTGTTAGAATGAAGTTATAAACAAAAAGGCAGCTGGACCCTGGCACACTAGCCAGCTTAGCTCTCTGAGGCCCGGTGCAAGTGTACTCGGCTGCTACCCCCTGCACAGATCTTGCAGGATTGTCTGAGATCTCGCAAGAGCCTTGCAGAGCCTGGTAAGCAAGGCAGACAGCTTAAAAGCTCTTTCTGTGCCAGAAAAATCCTGTACAAAAAGAACTTTTAACCTTCCATGCATTTAACTTGTGTGATTTCAACAAACACATGTAAATTCTGAGTTAATTGTACTTTGGAACATTACTTCTTAAATTCAAATTATGTTCAGGTCTCACCCTGATCATAAAAGTAGATACCACAGTATTTTTTGAGGGAAAGGTTGTCCCTTATTACCCATTTTGATTTCCCCCCACAATGGTTTTATGCACCCTTAAAGTTATGATGGAAAATGATTATCTGCATTATCTAACTGCTGAACCATACATAGGAAAGAAGGGAGGGCAACTCTAAATCTATTAATTTTAGGAGGCAACACTAAAAGCAAAGAGATTTGAATAAGTCCAGAATATTCAACTGTTTTAGTTGCTGTGCAGTTTTTGTTTTGTTTTTTGTATCTCAACCCACAAAAGCAGTAAAGTGCCAGATCAAGATAACCAAACATACCTGGTCAATTCTTAGGCACTATGGCCTCATCCATTAACCAGAGAAGGAGCAGCTGCAGGGAGCTTGCCTGCTTGCTTCCTCCTCTCAGAAAGAACACTTTGCTTCAACTGCCTGCTGTTAATGGAATGCAGAGTAAGGGAAAAGGACTCTCCCTCCCATCCTCTGGTCAAAGGAACAAGATCCACCAGCTGCTTTCAAGCAAGAACACCAGCAAGAGAAGACCAGCCTGCCCTGGGATTACATCTAAATGCTCATAGCTCTGCACTTTGTTCTGGCCTTGAAGACTGATCTCTCCTTTACCTTTTTCTTCTACTCCCCTTCCCTTCTGTATCTTGTCTTTTTAGTTTATAAGCCTGACAGATGGACCCATTTTTTTAAAATAACCATGTGAGTGGTTTAAGAAGACAACAGTCAAAAAGTGGAATAAAAATAAATAAATGCACTGATAAGTGATGCACATTAGCTTTGAAAGATGTACTATGAATAAAGCTTGAGTTTCATTACACCATCTTCCATAACTGTATGCGGAGTTAATGGCTGCATTCACAGATAACACTAAACCAAGTGAGTACAGTACTCATGTATTCCACTGATGAAGCCTGGGATAGGGTTGGCAGGCATCTAGTTAAGTTTAGTTTTACTTTCAAATAATCTTTCAAAGAACCAGGGATGCTAGTTTACAACAAAAAAATGGATAGTTAATTAAACAAACTAACAAACTATATTCTTAACCTATGGTTTGAAGTTTGCTTGTTTAGAAACTAACCATTGTTTGTAAAAAACAATAACCCAGGACTCCTGCTTCTTATGTAACACTAATGTACAGTACTGTTACAACTTTGTTCTAGTGTCACATGCAAACTGGGTCAAAGTTTCATTACAATTCCAACTATTATAGGTCTTTTTAACTTGTAAGAGAATAAATTTTAGAAAGGGCTGAATGAAATAATCATCTCTACCAAATCTATTCTGAACCTCTACTCTTTATTATAACCCACCCAACATACCACTTTAGTTTGCTCTCCACAGCAAAGAGCAAACTATTCTATTTCGTTGTTAAAATAATAAACAAAATGTCAATAGTACTTGAAGAAATATACCAGAGTAAACAAGCTGGCAATCAAAATACTACGTAAACAATATACAATTACTGTGAAATAACCTGCTGACAATTTCAGCTTCTTGCTTTTATAGGTTTGTGTTTTGCTCTTTCCATCTAAACTAAGCCAACATAGATGTTGCTTTGTTTTCCACCCCTACTTGACTCTTTCAGCATATCAGGACTCCATACCTGAAAAAGAAAATGTAAGGTAAGACACCCAACCACATATTCAAAGTCCAAGAATAAACAAATTAAAGCATTAGAGGACTGATACCTTTAGCTTATTCACTATGAGCAAGCACATCACCTCTACCAAGGTAGACTGGATAAAACAGACTGTTTACAAGCAAGCACCATGCAGCAAATTCATCATGAAACACATAAAGCCATATGGCAACCTGGTTATCTGTAGCAAGGCATGGCACATTTTCCCACAGCAAATATGTTTTTAAAGACACCCTGTAAACTATTGGCAATGTGCACAGTGGAGAGGAGATTACACCCCACAGCCAAACACTACGTGCAACTAGTCCTCCATATGGCTGCATGTATCCCATAAGGGGTGCACAAGCAGCCACCATGCCTTTGCCAAATGGTGCCCTCCTCATGTTTTGAGCTACAGCTACTTTAAACTGCCCCCTTTATCTACTCAAGAAGCAGTTAAGTGCACACACTGTATCATTATTTATACTATGATAAAAATGGGTATGCTCTACACCAAAACAGCCTACTAACCAGCAGCAAAAAATTCTATGACATCCACAAAAGTTTTATCTAGTCTATATGTGAAATTCTGTACAGGTAGTTAGTTACTTCATGTTTCACAACGTTTTCATATGCTTATCCTTACTTTAAAACATACACTCTAAAACAGTGTTTCCCAACCTTGGGTCTCCAGCTGTTTTCAGGCTACAATTCCCATCATCCCTGGCCACTGGTCTTGCTAGATGATGGGAGTTGTAGTCCAAAAATAACTGGAGACCCAAGGTTAGGAACACTGCTCTAGAACAGCCTCCTGCAACCTGCTCTCCAAATGCTTTGGTCTACAACTGCTACCATCTCTGACCATTAAACATGTTGGCTGGAGTTGATGGGATTGTTGTTCAGCTGAAGAGCATAATGTTGGGTAAGGCAGTTCTAGAGTTTCTGTTTTAAGGTAAGGACATGCATTTGAATGGGCAAAGCTAGATTTGGAACCAATTAAAGTCCCAGTTCAGCAGGTCAGCCCACAGAATACCCTGGCCAGGCCACACCCAAATATTATCCTCTCACAGAAGTAGAATACGAAGAATTACACCCCCCCCCTTTGCATGCTGAGGTTTACTTAGGTTTACTTTTAGCACATTCTCTACAAGCAAGTACACCATCTATAGGCTGGACATTCATTTCCCCTGTCCTAATTCACCCTCAGGAAAGCCATAATGAAGATGTATCTAGAAATTCACTCCAAGATTGTAAACTATGATACAACCTCTACATAAAGCCTGTTCTACATGGCCTCTCTCCATGCCCAGAAGGAAAATCAATACACAGTATGTAGTGGGGAAAATGTGCCTTTTAACTTATGAATAGGGTGACTATTTTTAAGCCTGGGACCATGCAGCATTTAGCCAATTCTCACTGTGACTTCCCAATATGTGAAGCTGTAGCAAGATACAACCTTGTCACACAACTTTTTTCCACCATGAAGGCTGACTGCTTCTGAAGTTAGAAGAATAAGGCGAAGGTGAATTCAAATATCTTAAGTAACTGTAAAACAAATATGAGCCCCAAGCCATTATGGATAGGACCACATTGTCTTGAAATTTTCATAATACAGTACTGTATAAATAAAATCACTGCATATGTATGCATCAGTAGCAAACTAGTAGGAACTATGGTGCAACTTTTTGCTACCAAGAAGTCTCCCCAATTTTTGATCCCTGTCCAGACGGGTCAGCCTGTTCCCCTCCCAACCCACCTTCTAAACTTCGTGAGGAATCAAAATTGGGGGGGGGTACCTAAATAAAGACAAAGAATATTGTGTGGTAGGCTAAAGATCACGTTGGAATACGAGGGCGAGGGAAAACCTCTTCCCTGCTTGCATGGATCAGAGGGAGGAAGGCAGGGCTCTGAAGCAGACCACGAGGCCATTTGCAACAGGGCACTTTCGCCCTCTTGGCGGAGCCATAAAACCAAACACCTCGTGGCTCACCCACCTCCATCTAACGCAGCCACCCCCCAGATGCCGAGAGGGCAGCACCTCCAGAAAGAAAGTTGGGAGGAGAGAGTGAGAAGGGCGGCGGAGGGTGGGTCTCCCTCCTGTAAAATACGGGCAGGCTCTCTCTCACCTCTTGGAAAGATCCATGAGGACCCCGGAAAAAAGCTTCTTCCCGAATCGGAAAGACACCACCAGCGCGTCCTCGATGATGTGATCCAGGGTGACCAGCACCTCCGAGCCGGGCAGCAGCACCGCCGCCGCTTCCTCCTCCTCATCTTCCTCTCCTCCAGCGGCCACCGCCTGCTCCGCGGGCGCAGAGAGCTCCGGCTGCTTCGCAACGGCGGTGGCGGCAGCATCCGGCTCCTCCTCCTCCGGCCGGGGCGGTTCCTCTCCGGGCTCCGGCCCCGCGGGGCCCCCAGCTGCAGGCGGCGGCGGCGACAGCGGCAAGCAGGGCGGCTGCTCCCCTCCGCCTTGTCCCTCCGCCTCCTCGCCGGGGGGGAGCTCGGAGAGCTCCGCGGTGAGCGGGCCGGGCGGCTGAGGCGACCCTCCGACGGGCTCCGGGCTGGGCTGGGCCTGCGGCAGGTCTCGGGTCCCCGCTGGGCTCCCGGGCGGCGGCGGCGGCGGCGGCACCTCGGCCTCTCCCCCCGGGGCTGGCTCGGGCTCCTCCCGGGCGTCGAGCACCGCCGACTCCACGGCGGCCTGAGTGCCAGCCGGGAGCGGGTCTGCGCCGGCCTCGCTGCCCGGGATGGGCTCGGCCTCGCCGGCTCCACCATCACCCGGCACCGCCGCAGTCGCAGCCACGGCCGCCATTTTCTCTGCTGATGCTTCCTCCTCCCTCTAGTCAGCAGCGGGATCGATAACCGCGGCCTTCTTCGCCCGCCTGGCAAGGGAGGGGGACGCCGCCTACCGGGGGGCGAGGACCTTGCCGCTCGAAAGCGCTTATTGGAAGCACGGGGTGTCCATCAAGGGCAGGAGGAACTTCCCATTGGCCGCGAGAAGGGGACGTTGATCTCGAGGGCAGGAAGAGGAATTAGGGGTGGGGATACTGGTATCTGTGTCGACAAAGATCAAAAGGGGCAGGTTAATGAGCAGCTCTTCGCCTATTCGCGGGGGCGGGGAGTAGAATATAGGCCCTCCCACTTCGCTGAAGTTGCTCATTGGTCCTGGAGAATGTCTGGTGAAATGCTGGTTAGGAGCAAGGCAGAAGCCGTGGGTTTAGGGGTTTGGTGGGGCTTCTTAAGGAGCTCGGGGGAGGTAACTCTCTCAGTTGACGGCGCCTATTTTTGTCCCTGGAGCAGGCAGGATTTTTCTGGTCTTTTTTTATTTTTAACAAAAGTACAGCGCAATAGGGAAAGGGAACACGCAACGTGACTTGAGACTGAAAGGGGAGCAGAGAAACCCCGAAACCATTAAAAAAAATTAATCAGGAATTTGTGCTATCTTATCTATCCTCGGTGCTGGCAAAAACCAACCAGTTAATTGGAAAGGGGCTTGCTATGTAGCGTCAGCTTCCCAGCAACCAGTATGGCAAAAGAAAGAAAAGTGAGATAAAATCTTGGGACTTCAGAAATTGCCCATGCCTCCTCGAGGAAGACTGCCTGGAACTGGGGAAAGCTGGTTCTGGGAGAAGGTGGAAACGGAAAGATCTTACTCTAAATTCTGTAGTATTTATACAGAAAGGAAGGCAACCTGTCAATAATAAAATCCTTTTTTAAAAAAATCACGTTCCTAAATTTTAAGTTTTAAGCATAAAACGCAAGCAGTGTTCCTTTTCTTGCCCCCTTCAAAATGTCATTTGGTAGGGGCCAGCTTTCAAGCTTTTCCTAGAATCTGCATTGTGAAAGTTTGGCTACAGGAACTGGGGTGGGGTGGGGGTTAGTTAAAATAAAAGCCTTTTAGGTCACATCAGTATTTGCAGGTAGGTATATCCCTCCCTACCCACACACATCTTCAGGTCTAATAGTGATGTTCTGGCCCGCTGCTTCATTGTGGGGGGAACGCCCTTAAATTTATCTGAATCCTAATGCAACTGCTTTTTCCTCTGCTTCTCCAAAGTTGGGGGATTAAATAGTTCTGATGAAAACACTGATATGCCTCTTAAAGCACTACAACTGCCTGCAGAACAGCATCCACATTATGAACAAGGGTATAAATGGGTTGTCTGTTCATGTTCATAAAAATGTTTAAAGAGGTGGAGTGAGACAGATGAGGGAGAAGTTAACACAAATACTCCTGCCCTACTGCCAAATTTTGGGAGCAATTTGCTCATAACATGTCCCCCTTCTGTCTGAAAGAAGCTGAAGATGATGAGGATACTTTGCACAACAATGCCCTGATTCTCCATTCCTAAAAGAATCTCCATGTGATATACTAGAAACCAAACTGTTCCTGCTAATCCGCTTGTACCCAGCATGGCATTTTGATGCTGCATTTGCTTACATTCTTCCTTTGTTACTCTGATCACTCTTATGTAATTGTTTTATCAGCTCCTCCTCTTCCCTTCCTCTTTCCCTTTTGTTTCCCCTCACCCACCGAGGAGAAACGTAGATAGTAAGCTATCCAAAAGATTCCTTTTTGGGTGTCTGCTAGCTGCTCACATGCTTCAGCTTACAACAATATACAGACTTTAACATCAACAGTCTCCCCATCCTTTTTAACATCTAGGTTGGGGCAGCCAATGTGTCCCAATCTATAACTCCCATTGGCCCTCACAAATGGCCACGCTAGGCTGAGGCTGATGAGAGTTGTAGTCCAACAATGTCTGGAGGGCACCATCCTGGCTACTCGTCATCTAGCTATATGTGCACACTATTTTATGACATTTTGGTCAGCCTAATAAATGGGAACCTGGGCTTTTTAATTTTATTTTGGACCAACAGAACTACCTTTGCCCTTTCTTGTTTTATTTATGCTACTTTCGACAGCACCTGTATATGCTAGTTGTGCTACATAAAACAGCAACAGTAACTTCTAGGGGGACACAAGTATGAAATAAAAGGCACATATACCGTACCCCCAATAGCACACATCAAAGGGCCCTCACTAACCCACAACAAAATTAACACATGTAATGCTTTCACAAGTTTCACTGAAAGAACTTGTATGAACCAAAGAAAATGAATTCAGACAACTGGAATCAAAATGACATAGGCTTGTGTGTTAAACAGAGGGAGAGAATACTGTGGTCTCACGGTGTTCAGCCTATGAGGAGCCCCTGCTGATCCAGGTTACTTAGCTGTCTAGAAATAGATGAAGACATCAGAGATGTTGCCCTTTGAGATTATTGTTCTTACACATCATGGCATTTGCAAAACAGCATTACCTGATGACATTGCATAGATAAGATGGACAAGCAGCTACCAACACCACCCTACATAATGGCAAGGTAATCAGATGGTGGATATACTTTATAAGACTTGCTTGGAAGATTATGATGGGGGTGGGAGGACTCAGGAGGCAGGAAGTCGGGGAACAAACTTGGATACTTCCGAGTTACAAATTCTTCAAATGACCAGTTGCAGTGGAAAGGTTCAAGGAGAGGAGGCACCAAATGTTGCTGGTCTCTCAGCTGTGTCTCCATGGAGGGCTCATGCATCCCTTCTCTTCCCTCTCCCAACTGCAGCCTTCTGTAATGGTTGCTACTAGATGACAGTTAATGGAGGGGAAGAGCCTGGCTTCTCAGCAGAGCAGATGGTGGCTCTGACTGCATTTCTTATCTTCTCTCGTCTGCGACAGCCTGATGGAATGGCTGTTGCCATGTAATGGTTGGTGACAGTTTAATATAACATACTAAAATGTTCAGGAAGCATAATATCAACTCAATGCCATATTTCTTAATACTATCTAAGTACTCCAGTTGTAATAGAGCTACAATACAATAACAGTCTCATAGCTTCCAACCTGCAAAGTTTCTGCTATTATCCCATCCCCCTTGAAGACAGCACCTGCAAGAGCTTATATATGCATCACTGATGCATCTTTCATGACAAAAGTAAACAAACAAACAAACAAACAAACAAACATCAGAGAGAACATTTGTTACATTGCTTAATCTCTGGGTCAATCAAGAAATAAGTACTAGATGTCAAGATATGTGCCTCTAATGACTATCATAATTTTTGCTTGTATTTTTTTTTAAATCATCAGATCAGCTATTTGATACATGGAGCAAAGGAGTGATTAAATATTTCCAATGGAGTACCTGTCTTTTTTTGCAGCTGCTGTGCCCTTATTTATCCAACTGTTCTGCCCTTTGGCTAAGAACCATATGGTAGGTATATATCACCTTATGTGAGATTCCTGACTCTGAACTGCAGACTGAATTTAAGACCACATTTGTATACTAAGAAATATACCCTTCCTTGTTTTGGACCATATATATGGGGAAGATATGCAGCTATCTTGGCCATGGGATAAGTAGTTGGGATTTTTGATTAAAATTGTTTTAGGAGACAGATTTGTTCAGTGAGTGATTTTAAATTTTCAGCTGCAGTGATGTGTCTTGGTCTAACAGCATTTACTGGATTGCACTGACTGTTTTGTCCACTCCTTGGTGGAGATTAATTTGCATGTTTCATAACGCCCTTTCCCCCGTTTTCTTTTGCTTCTCCATAAGCGTTAGAAATGTGGAAGATATAAGCATACTGCAACACAAAGGTGATAAGTCTGTTGTTCTATAATAACTGTTTCCTGTTGGGTTCCTTCTGGTCACAAATCTGATCACAAGTGTGTTGTTGTTGACCAGTGCCAAGTAGGTACTGTATAACAGTGCCTTGGAGATATTTCACTGGTATTAAAATTCATCTTTGTGTAGACAAGGCCTTATTGTATATATCCTTAAAATGCTGTTTTTAGTACCACAGACATGAAGGTGGGGTTCATGGCAGTAGTGCTTGGTGAATTGCTCTCATAGCTTGCCAGGGAAGACCATCCATTTTGAGTCCACAAGAAGCTGTCTGAGTAGAAAGAGCCACTGCACTCCACTGGCTACTGGATGTAGCATTCCTGTGGCTCCCTTTCTTTTAATCTTTACTTCTTCGCAATAGACAAATATTAAAACAAAACTATTAATCTCCACAAAGCTTCCAAAGCTTTTGCTTTCCTATGGCTATTAAGGGATTGTAATGGGACGCGGGTGGCGCTGTGGGTAAAACCTCAGTGCCTAGAACTTGCCGATCGTATGGTCGGCGGTTCGAATCCCCACGGTGGGGTGAGCTCCCGTCGTTTGGTCCCAGCTCCTGCCCACCTAGCAGTTCGAAAGCACTCTTAAGTGCAAGTAGATAAATAGGGACCGCTTTATAGCGGGAGGTAAACGGCGTTTCCGTGTGCTGCGCTGGTGCTGGCTCGCCAGAGCAGCATTGTCACGCTGGCCACGTGACCCGGAAGTGTCTTTGGACGGCGCCGGCTCACGGCCTCTAGAGCAAGATGAGCACGCAACCCCAGAGTCGGACACGACTGGCCCGTACGGGCAGGTGTACCTTTACCTTTTTATTTATTTTGTTTACATTTTGTCAAAAAAGTATTGCAAGCTTTTCAAAAAATTCAGATTATACTTTGACTGTGGTCCTTTAAATCATGATTGATAAAGGACTAATTCTTTTCAGAATGCTGACTCTGTTATAATGAAAAGATCCTAATTGACTGTCAATGACCCATAGACCCAGATGTAACACCTGTGTTTAGCATAACAATATCTGCCCTCCCTTCCCCACAGGTGGGCGGGGTTTGCAGCACCAGCAGGGCTCACCTGGGCGGGTGCCACCCACCTGCTTGAGCTGGCCTTTGACCCGCCCTTGGCCAGGGAGGACAATGGCCGGCCGGCCAGGGGGTGGGCCTAAGGCCAAAAGAAAAGAGGCTGACTCCTTGGCTCAAGCCTCTTTTGCTGTTCTTCATTGCAGAATTA